TTCGTTTTGGCTCCAAGAAACCATTTGAAATTCAAATGGGCCCCACCTCTAGCCTCCCTGCGACTTTCGCTCCTTTCTCCGCCCGCCTCCTTCGGTAGACGCGAACCGGCCCGCTGGATTGGGCCGGCTAGACCGGTCCATGGAGGACAGGTCTAACAGAATTTTTTAAATAGCTTGTAAAACAGTGATTTTTTCTCAAAGCAATTGTTACTATCTGTTATATTCAGATAATTGGAGGGGGAAAAAGCTTGATCTTATCATACAAAACTATCACTTATTTATAGATCTATACAAGTTCTCTTAATAATGAAACAAATAACTGTATAACCATGCATAATTACCTTAATATAGTCTTTCTTAAATTAGCCACCCAAATATAGAAGGAGATCAACGTGATCTAGGTGAGCCTCCCAGGATCCCCATGCTAGCTGTGGGATCAAGGGTTAAGGGACGACTGAGATTTAACTGCATGATCCAGTTGAGCCTCCCATGGATCCCCATGCTGGCCGTGGGATCAAGGGCCAAGGGACGACTATGATTTAACACTCTCCCAAGTCGGGGAATTTTGATCTATCATTCCCGGCATGGTAATTAGTCCCAAAACGGTAGAGTTATCAACTCCTCTTGTTTCATCATTTTCTTGCACCCCATGCATCGTGGTTTCACCTTCGATAAACTCCCATTGCTCTTTCTTTAGGAGCAACATCTCTACATCACCATCATACAAAACTTTATGCATTTTTGTACTTTGATCAAAAGAATCAACAATGACATCATAAAAAATCTGATCATCTGGCCACCAAATTTTTATCTTTGAACCGACAATTATGTCATCTAAGCCTTTACTATGCTTCCGCGGTCTAGAAGCCTCTTGTTCGTCTTGAGTATGCTTCCATCATGATTATTTTTTACTGGCATATTTAACATAGTTATGATCTTTAACCCAATCTTTCACCGTAGACTTTTGAGAGTGGAGAACTTCCTTTAATTTCAATTTCTTGTCTTTAGCTTCAGATGCTTAACTCCTTTCCGCTTCTTAGTGCCCACAATTTGTTTGTTTCCAAGAAATTCACTCTAACTTTTCTTTGAGATCCATTTATACCTCCATTAATTGGAAGCTTTTTGTCAGAATTACTCCGAGCTTTTTTCTTATTACCAACTCCATAATGATCATTACTAATTGACAATTGCAATGAAAAATTTCTTCCTCTTTTGTGAGAACTTAGATCTGACCTAATAGGCTTTGTTGTACTTGAATCCAAACTATATTCAGTATTACCTCTAGATTTTCCACTGCGTCGAAATTCAGCATTTTGCTTTGCAGCCATGGAATCACCATTCCCAATATGAAAAGATCCATTATTTGTCATGAGTTTGTAAGATCCATCTGCAGCAACAATAGATTTTTCAGGATGAATAATGTCACCTTTTGTTGTCTAGATCCTTGAGGTGAGATGTCAGAAAGGAACTGTTCAGATAATTTGTGGCCAGCTTCCTATTTTCACCAGAAGCGTTCATTTCATTTTGTATTGAAGTGTCAGGTTTCCCCTAAATATAACAACAATAATTTTGTTGTAATCACTTAACAGAGCACCATTGCCATTAAATAATTTAGCCAAATGAGGCTTTAGCTTCAAGAAACTGATAACCAGCACTTTCTCAGCTAACTTCTTGGTTGTATGTAGGATATTGTTTTCAACATCTTTCACATGATTCAGTAGGCATGAAAGATGCTGTGCAGAAATACTTTTAGTCTCCTCCAAAACAAGTGTCATGATAGTCTCCATTGAGGAGAAGACAATATAAGAATGCTTTTATTTCATTGTCTTCAGTAAATGCTGAAACATTTTCAATATCAAGTCATCACAATCAAGATCTAATATCGAAACATAGAATCAGACCTTTGCAATAGTTTCAAGTATTGAAACTCTCTTCGAAAATGAATGGTATGACATCTCATCCAAATTCTTGAAAGCTCCAACAATAATGCCACATATCTCCTTCATTATATCTTCATTATACCATCATATGGAGCATCTGGTACTATTATTCTTATTATTTCACTAAGACAAGATGTAATGGAAACCTTCACATCCATATCCGAGTGCCCCTAAAGATCCTTGGCAACCAATTGCCTTCATAGCAGGCTAAACAGCAATCAACATTGAAGTAGATGGAGATTGCTCTATTCTTAATAATAGATTTTCAACTTTATCAAGAAGTAACTAAAGTTGTTATAAATCGGATGGAGGAGACGCTAGCTTATTCTCGATGACTTTGAACCCATCCTATAGCATTACATAATCAAGAGACATTTGCACAGATGTGCACGAGAGAGGCCGCAAGTATGCAAATAAGGGCTCCAAGCTCTCGGTCCCTTCCAGGCGCAGACAAGACCACCGATCCAAGAGTTTGGCTCTTCCCAGGCACGCATGCAAAAAAACTCCTGAACGACTCCTATCGGTGCTTGATTTTCCTTCCGCATAGGCAAGAACACATTCACAAAGGCTCGGTCTCCTTTGCATGTATAAGGGTTCCTGCTCGCCCCTCTCCGCTTGGCTTCCAAGAAGAGACTAATAGGAAATACTTGAGTTCGCAAGTAAATCTAGCAATAACCGATTAGTATAGCGAGAAGAATGCTGTTTTTGGAGAAAACAGCAAAAACGATGTAGGAATTTCATGATATTGGAGAGAAATACAAGGAAAACTTATTCTATTCAATCAACGAAAAAGAAAAACAATACAAGATACAAGTTTCTTCAATTCAAGAGGAAGAAACAACTCTCCAAATCTCTAGCAAAACTTAGAGCCCAAAAGCACCAACCCTAGACTCAAATCAGATTTCAAATTCAAGGTGAAAATCTAATTCTAGCATTAGCAACTTATTAAAGCTAATGGAGAAATACAAAATCCCTAAAAACCCCATAATTCAAATTTTCCTCCTAAACACCCATTTTAATTAATTGCTTGGGCCCACTAGGGCATCCGCCCCTCCCCCTTGGTTCCGCTCTTTAGGTTTGGGCTGCCAGCTGTAGAAATGAACCGGTCCAGGTTGGACCGATTCAGCTGGCCTCTCCTGGACCGACCTAACAGAGACGCACGAAGCAGATGACCAAGAGGAACACCACTCCTCTCTCGATCACACGCAGGGATGAAGATTGAGCTTGATCTCACCATTTCAACGAGGTCCTGCCCTCTATCTAGATGCACGCAGGAAGAGGTCCTGCGCTTGATTTCTCTCGCTTCTTCTTGGTCCACTCTAAACGTCACATGCAAGAATGAAGACCGAGCATGATGACGCCTTTCCTAGGAGGTCCTGGCCGTTGTCTAGAAGCATGATTTCTCGTCCCATGCAGACGCATGTAACGCTTCTTCTGGCTGCAAGAACGAAATAGAGGGCAAAAGCAATTTGGATTGCTTGACTTTCGTTCGATCTCCAATGGAAATGAAGGCTGCTTTCTCCACTTTGCTTCATTCGATTCATATATCCCAGTGATTCTGGCAATGAAGGCCTATGGCAGGATCAATATTTCTCAGAATTCTAGCATTGAAGGTTGATGGTGGGAATCTAGCTCTGTTGCCCAATTAAATTTAGAGAATTGGAGAGGGAAATATCTTGATTTTTTTATAGAAACTATATGTTATTTATAGATCTATAAAAGATGTCTTAATAAAGAACCAAATAATTATACAATCATGCATAATTGCTTTAATATAATCCTTAATAAGGGAAAAGCTTCTAATAGTAAAAATAGTTTGTGGTGCAATCAAAATGTACAAGAAAATATCAAAAATAAATTATAAAAATTGATTTAGATATACAAATTTAGATAATTGGAAAATATATAAAGAGGTCCGTAAGAAATCTAAGAAAGCAATATGCAAAGAAAAAATTTTAGCTTTTAATGATTTATATAATAGATTAGATACTAAGGAGAGTGAAAAAAATATGTAGTAGTTAGCCGAACAAAGAGATATAAGCAGTAAAAATTTAGCTCAAGTGAAGTGCATTAAGGATGAAAATCAAAAAGTGCTTTTATTAAAATAGGATATTCAACAAAGGTGGATGAGATATTTTGCTAAACTTTTCAATGAAGATTGTGAGAATATGATTGTCTTTAGTGATATTAGCACCCTAAATGAAAATAAAGATTTTTGTTTTTATCGTTGTAATAATAAAACTAAAGTTAGAGATGCTTTAAAGAAAATAAAGCATGGAAAAGCTATTGAACCTGCTAATATTCCAATAGAAGTGTGAAGATTTTTAGGAGATGAAGGAATTTCTTGGCTTACTAAACTTTTTAATATTATTTTGAAGACTAAAGAGATGCCAGATGAGTAGAAAATGAGTATGTTAATTCCTATGTTTAAGAATAAAGGCGATGCACAAGATTGTGCAAATTATAGAGTTAAGTTAATGTGTCATACTTTAAAACTATGGAAGAGAGTTATGGAGCATAAGTTGCGGCATGATACTAATGTTTCTCAAAATCAATTTGGATTCATGCCGGGTAGGTCTACTATGGAAGCTATACATTTATTGAGGGGTTTGTGGAGAAGTACAGAGAAAATAAGGAGGATCTACATTTGATATTTATTGAGTTAGAGAAAGCATATGATTAAGTTTCAAGAGAAGTGCTATAGAGTGCTAGAAAAGAAAGGGGTTAATAATTCTTATATTTAAGTAATTTTTTTCCCTTCAGATAAATTTTATTTCAGTAGTATTAGGAAATTTTCTTGATTAGAAAGTATTAGGAATGATCTTTGTTTATTAGATTTGAATGAGAATTTGACTCTTAGTTGATCACAATAGAAAAAAAAATAAAAAAGATTGATGTAGCCGATCACATCTATTGGGATTAAGGCTTTATGCTGTTGTTATTATAGTATTAAGAAATTTTCTTGTGAATAGTGCATACTAATGGCCTCGTTTGCATTTTAGGGACTGTTTTTTTCATAAATTGATTATGTTTTCCATTGTTTTTTATTCAATAATGAAGGTGGGAGGCTGCACAAATTCCAAAAGTAAAGGTGGCTCGGTTTAATTTGATCAAAGTTAGTGACGAACAAACTCCTTATATGCCTAGTATTCCAGATATTGCAGAGTGCCCATTGAATCTTTTGCCTTTAAAGCATTGGGAGGATGCTTTCCTTGCTGATTTTTTCAAGTTACGGCAGGTACGTTGCCAAGTTTTATTTATTTATTTATTTTCTTTTATATGATCTCTGCCAACTACCTAACAGTTATTTTTGTTAACAACTACTCTGAACAACATTGTCTTTAAATTTCAGTACCAGCTGCACATCTCTTTGTGCTCATTAAAGTAGATTAGAATACTTTATCAACGGAGAAAAAAATTCAGGAATTCCAATTGGAATGGGAGGCAGAAGGGAGTAGTGTCTAGGAAATCCCGTTAATATCAAATTTCATCTTCCATGTAGAATGTAATTATGCGTTAGGAGTAGAGTTTAGCTAGAAGAGGCGAGGGGGCTAGAGCCTTGGGCATGGTAATATTTTAATGGAGAGAGGTATGAGTATAGGCTTAGTTAATGCTATGTAGGTTGGAGAGAATAGGAGACCGATAAAGAGATATTCAGATATATTTTATTACAAAGATATTTAGATATATTTTATTCACAAATCCCTATTGAAACTCCATAAAATTTGATTCTACAAAGTACAAAATTCATGCTCATCGTATATTTTATTACATGCTGATACTATTTGTTAGAAGAATAGCTTATGTAAAAATGTCTGCCAGGATGGAACGCAAGGCATGCATGAAGTTATACTAAAAGAGATCAAGCACTATAAAAGAAGGAAAGATATACACGACTCGGTTAAAATAATTATAATTCATGGGAAAGGAGAGGATCTGGCCACCATAGGAAGCCACAAAAATGTACAAACAAAAGGCGCACAAAAATTATTATTCCCTGAACCCAAGTAATCACAATCTCATGAACAATGAGAAGCCTCAAGTTTCTCAAGATAAATGAGAAAATAGCTGAAAAAGAGGCGACAAAGAAAGTGGAATAAATTAACGCCAAAAATTACCCTATGAACTCTCAATAGAGTACCTTCCCGTATGCTGATGGAAATTGTGCAAAATTTCGAGCTTCAATAATGCTTTCTTTCACCTTCTCTCCCATGTCTTCTCCTAAAACATTGTTTTTAACTTGAATTCAATTCAAAATTAGTTGTCTAATGCATGCATATAGTTTTCACTCATATATTCAACAAAATAACCTCCACGCATTTTATTCCAAAGCCAGTGCTAGGTGTTTCTCCCTCAAAACTGTGGCTGCTTGCTCTCTTCATGCAAAACCCAATGCACGTCTGATTCATTAAGCCCATACATATAGATCTTAAGGAGGTAATTTAAAATTCAAATCATGTTTAAATTTGGTGTCAAAGTTGTCCAAAATAAAAAATTATCCTAACAAAATTTAAAATATAATTTTATCCAAAATCAAATTTTTATGTCATTATCATAACAAATCTACTATTTTAAATTTATGCTTATCTTGACTAAATTATTTTCTTAAAATCTACAGTTAGTATCAATGGGTGAGATATATGTTTCCATCAACTGTACAAGTTCCCTGTTTTGTCTGCTTTTTTCTTGGAGTACACGTCATCTCTCAACTTCTACTATATCAAGTGCACAATTGTTCTATTAAGCACTGCACTACACGTTCATGGATTAAAAAAAAAAAAGGTAAAATCTACCTCCCTGCCAATTTTTAGATAAGGAACAAGATACTCCGGCTGTCTATAAATGCAAGTAATTTTAAATGCTTGTTGCATCGGGAATTATCTCTTGGGAATCAACTCGTTTTGCCGATCTATATCTATTTTGATGTGAACTCTCAAAAATTGTTCTTGGTAATTAACAAGGTCTGTCATGGATGTTCTCACTAGATATTTGCAAGAGGATGTACCCTAGTGTATACTTTTTGCTGATGATATTCTTCTTGTTGATAAGACTAGAGAGGGAGTTGAAGGTAAATAAGAATTATGGAGGTCAACCTTAGGCTTCGTTTGGGACGGCTGCAGCTGTCGATAAAGCAGGTTGTGAAGTTGTTGTCCAGAAAGCTGCTTTTTAAAGTTGTTGTACATAAATCAATATATTTTGTTTGGGTAGTATAACTACTGAGTTTTTGTGCTGCTACTATATGACAACAAATTACCTTGTTACCCTTTTATATATATTTAGATAAATATAATAATCAACTAACATTTCTGAATTAAAATTAAATAATTTTATCAAATCTTTTATAAGTTTATATATGAAAATACTATAAAATTTTAACTTAACTTTTTCTATCATACTTCAAATTAATTTGTTATGTTTTTTTAGATTCTCGATTATTATTTAATCATAAAATATTTTTTCGTAATAATAAAAATATGTTTTGATTGATCTTTTTTAAAAAAATTATGTCAACGTAATGTTTAAAGAACAAAAGTTTGGTGCATCAATTTTTTCTCTGAAATCTGTATAGCATATCAAAATTTAGAAACATAGTTTAACTTAAAAAAGATAAAAATTTTAATAATATAAGGTTTATTTTTATTACAAATTATATGCTCGGTGTTTAAAATTTAAAACATAAACAAATTTGTTGATTATACGTTTAATTTCAACCATTCAAATGTATTGTTAAAAACTCAAATAAAAATATAGAGTCGTATTTAATGTCACCTAAGAAATATATATTTGGACACGCTAGCAACATAGTATAGGTCTAAAAAGGTTGTTTAATAAATTTATATTTCTTCTAATATTTATTTTGCACAATTTCATTTTTAATACATTATTCTGATATTTTTAAAAAAATTTACTTGCTTAAAAAAACTGAATAAGAAAATAAAAAACAGTCAAAACCATCAAAACTTTGTATGACATTGAAACCAAATTGAAAACCAAATTTAAAATCCTTTATTTCAAAAAATAATTATGTACAATAAAAAAATTTTAGGGCTAATATTGCTAAAATAGGTAGCAAAAAGGTTTCATATGAGGAAATCAAAGGTGAACAAATATTACCATATAAAGACACCCTTGCATATATTAATATTGGATCAATACAGCCCCTTTTTAAAATCACAAGATTAAGTACTACTTAGCAGTAATTCGTAAATCAATGTAAAAGTTTTGTATTATATTTGTAAAGTTAAAATAAATAAAAAAATTCATCGAAAGATTCACAAACTTAATTAAATAAGAATGAACATATTGCCAAATATATGAAACTTCCTAATTTATCTCAGTCATCAATGCATTTGTGATTTCCTATCGTAAATGGATCATCTCCTCAGCACCTTCACCATATTGTACCTCCTAATTAAAAGTGTTTTCTTCAGTCTCTACCATCGATTAAAAAGGCGTTCGAGGCGGACGCCTCGAATCGAGGCGGAGGTCGGGCGAACTGAGGCTTAAGCCTCAAACGCTCGGGCGAGGCTTACGCCTTTTTCCACGGGTATGCTCGGTACTGAGTTGTACATGCTCGGTACTGAGCGGTACATGCTCGGTACTGAGCGTTACTGGCTCGGTACTGAGTGGTACATGCTCGGTACGCTCGGTATTGAGCATATACAATAAGCAGAATTTCAAAATTACTCTTATAATATAATTTTGTTCCGGGGGCGCTGCCAGGGGGCAGCGCCCCCTTGGACTCCCGACAGACTGATATATTTTTGTATTAATGTTATTTTATTATTGATAGTACAAATAATTATTATTTTTGTTATTTTTTGTCATTATTTAAAATTTTAAATTAATTTATTTTAATCGTTTTGAGGCTTACGCCTCGATCCGCCTCGAGGCTTACGCCTCGCCTCGCTTAGAAAAAAAAGCCTCGATTCCCGATTTCGCCTTTTAAAACCTTGGTCTCTACTAATGATTGCCCAATTCTAAACTCATATGCCTCTTCTGGTATATATGTTCTGTCTTCATCACATATGTTGAATTCTGAGTCTTCTCGAGTGGGATGTCAACGTATGTAATTATGCAATGTCATTGTTGCTATCACTATTTTAATTTGTTTTTTGAATGAATATGCTGACATATCTCGTAGTATGACCCACATTTTCTTCCAAACACCAAATGATCATTCAATTACGCCTCTTAATGAAGAGTGTCGCTTGTTAAAAGTTTCTTGCCTCCCCCGTACTAATTGGCTTCCTCTTTCAAAATCTGGTATATGATATTTGCTATCTGGAAATGGCTTTAAAAATCCCCGTTGCATCGAATATCCAGCATCGACAACATAATATTTTTCCGTTATAAGCTATTTGTAATTTAGTATATGTTTTACCACTACTAATATTACAACTATATAGAACGCACTTGGAGATGGCATGGGAAATTTATTTCATCTATTACGAGTTGCAAATTTAAAAATATGACTGTCATGTGCCTTCCTTCCCATCCTGCCATGAGAAAAGTGAAGCACATGTTGAAGTCACAAACAACTATAACATTTTGCGTCGTTGACCCATATCTTCCTATATAAGCCGCTTTCTCAGCATTTGAAACACTAGCATCCACATGTGTTCCATCGATAGCTCCAATACAGTCCTATTTAAGAAGCGATGATTAGATATTATATACATTAAACAAATCATATAATATGATAATAAATTACCTTGAAATATGACATATATCGATTATCATACAAAATATTCCTTGGGATATCACAAAATTCAAGATCTATAGGCTTTATCATAGAACATGATAATTTTACCAAAGCCTCCAATCTAATAAAGAAATACCTACTTATTGTCTCAGTTGAGTGTTGAAACTGCTCACATGTGGACCTTATTGATTCATTATGCGATAAAATATATAAAGTCATCACAAGTACTTCTCTACTTGTTGTCCTTGATGATCCATGTAGACCATGAACACATTCCAATTCATTCAATAGATCTAAAAAAATTATTTGAGACATACGAAACATATTATGAACATCGTTGGATGACCTTGTAGCAGCTCTCCAATCCATTTGTCTCCTCTATATGACGATATCATGCACGGTGTCTTGCAAATATATGTTTCATAATACTCTTTTATAAGATATATTGCCGCAAGTATAGTCTTTTTAATATTTGCAATATCAGCTGACTCACTTCTATTCTCATTACATTCCATTCCTGCATATAGTTTGCA